TGAGTTGAAATCCTATGGTCTTTGTTCCTAATTTCGGTCAATTCGATCATTAGAAATTCTAGTCAGTACTGACAGTAGAACTGCACGAATTATGACACTACAGTGCAAATTTGCTGGCCTATTTATTAATAGGTGATGAGTGAACATATAACTATTACTTATTTGGATCAATTTATAAATTAGTTTGGTGCCAATATGTTCTTTATCAAAGACTGATTTTACCTATTGAAATGTTGAAAACCCAGGGAGCGCAAGCACACACGCTTTTCAGTAGTGTTCCATAATAATCACATTAAGCATTGAACTCACAGGAAATCAATCAAAATGATGAATCAGTCTTTCAACACTTAACTTATTTGTCTGTTCTCTATTTAATCAATTTCTCCCAAACATTACCTATTAAATGTTAAACATTATGGTTCACAGGTCATATTGTGGTGTGTGCTACTGATTTCGATAGATATAAATAGTATGTATCATCAATCAAAAGTGAAATGTTTGGCGGCAAAATGTTAAAAAGATCAAAGAAAAAAGAACAAGAACAAAGAATGATTGGTGTGGAAACGAAAGAACAATGAAGTGTAAAAAGATTGGTTGACGTTTTGCAGAAGGAACAGTCAAGTTTGAGTGAATTAATTGATATTTTGCAAATGAACAATTTACATTATGGTTCTGAGATGTTCTGTAATTTTGTGCTTAAATGGACACGTTTATCCCCACTTGTATCCTCGTACACTACAGTATATTAACCACAAAGGTAGATGATGGAAAAAAGATAGGTAGTACTTTTCCATTCCTAACAAAAAAGTTATTTATATTAAATTCATTTGGTATTATTTACTTGAATCTTCCCATTGATGTTAAGGACTGAAATTGATCAGCACAAGCAAGCGGCATTCAGGACTTAGTAGCTAGGTGGAGAACACGGTTGCGTGTGAAGCGATTGGTACTGGGTTCGAGTCCCGGAGTGAAGATCAGTCCTGAGAAACAGATACATCGAGATGACGAGTCCTAAATAGGACGAAACGTGCATCCTGGATTCCAATGCTAGTCACTATCCATCTTTGCTTACAGTTCTTGTGATTTAAGGTAATATTGAGGCATCCGCACACGATGCACATATACCAACAAAAGACTGATCAATTCCAATCCTAACCATCTATAGGAAGATTCAAACAAGCAATACAAAATAAATGCTAAAAATCATCCATCTGAACTAAAAATAATCCTTTATCATCTCAACGAAAGAAAAACACACACCTTCAGTGTTGATCAATATAAAGTACCTAATGGAATTGTTGTCATCCTTACTACTAATAAAATACTGTTAAGTAAAAGTTTTGCTTAGCTTTAGATAATGTAGAATTTGAAATGAATGTATATCTGTTGAGGATTTTACTAACATCTTATTACCATGTTAAGTGAAAACATTAATATGTCTAATAATTATCGTTTGAAGACAATAATGTCGGTGATGTTGAGAAACTGAACACATGAAACTGACAAGAATGAGAAAATAAAAGAAATGAATGAAGTATTGAATAATACCTGTAGTCAACATTATAGTGGGCTTACTGTCGTACTATCATTGATTTGAAATCTATAGAGTCATGAATATTCACAATGGGAAATTGTAAACTTTTACTAATTCACTGATATCCTTTAAACATATTAGTGGGTATCTGGAATTGATGGTTCAGTGAAAACATCTACAATAGGATGCAGATATATCTAGTGAATAAGTTATATAAGTAACGAAACATGTTCTGGGATCAACTATTAGTTACATATCATGTATACTGTTATATATAATGCATGGATAGAAATATTATATGCTGTCTTAAGGCGACATTTTAGGAGGGAAATCAAAATACGCATAAGCCTGTTGTGAGGGTGAAAATTATCGATCTGGATAAGGTGATGAACAATCAGTCTCTATATGGGTCAATATTTACATATATACATGGAATGCACATATTTATTTGACAATTGAGCTTCTTACGTACTCTTGGATTTCCACTTTTGCTTCAGTAGTTGAGCGAATATTTGAAAGTGTTCGTTGAAACACCTGAGAGAATACCGCACATATTGAATACAAGAATTCAAATGAGCAAAGTATCAAATTTAAAGAGCTCTTTTATAGAATCTGGATAAGGTCACTACAATGGAATCTTGATGAGACATAAATAATAGACCATAGACTACATTCAGATTTTTTAAATCAATAAGATATCAAATTTCACAAAAATATGATGAAATAAATATATAACTTTCAGATTAGATTGACATCATCAATGGATCAATGTTAGACTACCATTGAAAACCTTAAAGCACTGGACGACCACCTCGTCCTAGTGTGAGACTCACCAGCAGTGAGTATCCACAATCCTACACATGGGATTCGAACCCAGGGTCTTCGGTCTCACGCTCAACCTGTAGACCACTGAGCTAGCATAGAGTGGCATCGGTGTCTAACTTCATCCAATCTACAAAATCGCGTGGCCATCCACCATTGCCATCACTGAACAACTGCAGCACTCGAACCCAGGACCTTCAGCCCAGTGCTTCTAGGTTTTCAATGGTGGTCTAACATTGGTCATTATATTCATCCAAACTCAATAATCTCCACAACCCTTATACTGATGATATAACTTTCACTTCAAATGCATTCAAATGTGATATTACTTTCATTCAATGTAGTTTCCGAAACATACGAAACGATAAACAACAAAACTTCTCTTTTCCAGAATACTTTGACTTCATTTCTTTTTTGTTAAGAATAATAAATCCCAAGGAACCTATTTATAGCTTGATTAGTTGCTGTCCTGTAAAGTTGAATACTTTGTCCCTTACTTTATTTCTCGTTAAATCACTCTACAGTAGTTATCGTTTACTTTTTTATCACATTTAAAGAGGCTAATGTCTTATTGATCAATGATTCACTTAGTGTGTTATATTATTGGCTAATTTACAAGTTTGTTCGATATGTATCTTACTTGTATTGAGTACTCTTCCGTGATCTTTATGAAATCTCTATAAGATCAGTCATTTTATGTGTTCAAGACTTTAAAAAGAAAAATGAGTATTTGTATCCATATATCGAAGAGAAGTTATGAGTTATCTCTATTACTTAAAATCAAATCACCTTCATTTAATTGTTCATTACAGTTACATTTGAGATGGTGGCAAAGATTTGTAGCTCAGGTAAATGATTTTGATGGAATTTTGTTCTCTGATCTGGATGGTTTGCTCAGACAACAGATCAAGGAACTAAATTCCATCAACAGTTACATTTATTAGCAATGGGTTGTGAAGATTGTTGGATTACATTGAAACCATAGACTGATCAATGCTAAGATATCTAATACTTCCAAATATTCATTGAGGATTTCACATTTTTTGGTTCATAATTTCAATGAATATAAAAGCGCTGATGAAAGTTTTCTAGTAAATTTATCATATAGGCACTCTAATTTCTTAACTCCACCTGTAGCTCTTCTAGAGTTACTACCGGTCTCAAGCCCGGATAAAGGAGGAGATTTGGGCATGGGGTTAGCGACCCCATCCCGTAGAAAACTAACTTTCTAAAAAAACGCCAACCAGAAAAAATAATTCAAACCATTTAAACTCTGCCCTTGGAGTTAGAAGGTCTTCATTTAGAAAAATTATGACGCTTCATGGTGAAAGCCGAGTTCCTTCGGGAGCTACGAGGCCGATGCTCTTTCTAACAACCAGAGCAACAATTTTTATAGGTACATGGAACATCCGAACAATGTGAGAGACCGGGAAGACCAGTCAAATAGCAACGGAAATGAGGAGATACAACTTGACAGTACAAAGAATCAGCGAAACCCATTGGACTCTAATTTCTTAATTGATAGATAGATTATACTTCAATCATTAACTGAAATTATATTGACTGGAATGTATGAATACTTTTACCACTAATAATACTTATTAAACTATCTTATATTTACAAGCTTATTATTATTGTTATTGCTATATTTTTACTGTTCACTTCATTCCTTTAAGCATATATATGATGATGAAAAGTATGATAGTTTTGTTTGCTGTTTCATGATAATGATTTTTGTTTGTTTCCCTTTCAGTTGTCGAAGCTAATAGACATTCTATAAGTGAACTGAAATCTCCCTTTGTTATAATGTTTAGTCTTAAACATAACGTCTGAAATTTCTTACTGAGAAAGAAATCAGATCTTAGCTATCATGTCTTATACACCATATCTTATTCTAAAGTATTCATGATGTTGTAGGTAAGCCACTTTCTTAGTGCAATTATGTTTTTTTTACAATTCTTTTTAAAGAGAGCTATGTGCTTACAATAGTGAAGACTATTACGATATACAATTAGATATCAATTTCGCAATTTAAAATACTATCACCTATGGTTACAACTTTTACCTGAGTCAAGTTTACAATATTATTCAATTCTTCGTTTCAGATGATCAATGAAAACAATTTACGAGATATATCTTTCTCTACAATGTACGCCAATTATTATCTTTTTTACACTCCATTATATATCATCTACCTGATTATACATGTGAATCAGCGTGGATTATGTTATTATTTTCAGAAAATATATATTCAGTAGTTGAGATCATGAGTCCATTGAATCTAGACCACCATACAAAACCTGGAAGCAATGGATGGCCGTTTCGTCTTATTGTGGGACTCCTCAACTGTGTACATCCATGATCCCACCTTTCGGGATTCGAGCCCAAGGTCTATCAGCTTCTCGTGCGAGTACCTAAACTCAAGATCACTGAACTGAACGGCATCCAACGGTGTTGATATCTGACTTCAACTGATTCACGAAATTGAGCGGCGAATCCATCATTATCTTCAGTGATTTACTATCTCACAACTGATACTTATCAAGATATATTTTATTATCATACATTATTATTACACATTAATACATGAATAAGTATGATACAATAATAAGAACATAAAACAAATGGAACATTAAATACTTACAAATAAGAATTTGTTTCATCAGTATATCAAATAGTTGATTCATTTATATTCAATTTTGTTATATAACATCCATTGTGGAGATAGGCTTAACCATAACAAAACATATTGCTTTCATTACATAATAACATTGATTTTATATAGATTATTTTATAAAAGTTTATCCATTTTGCTAACGTTTGCGCTTATATCTTATTGTTATTGTTGTTGTTACTGTTGTCGTCGTTGTTGTTGTCGGATTTCAATTTTAATACATTGTAAACGTTGAATTGAATAAAAATAGAATCCACCAATCATAAATAAGAATTTGATTACACTTTATCTCATTTGTGATTGGTTAACTGAATCATGGATTTTGATTGGTTCGTTTAGTGTTCACCCCTAAAATTTTCAACAACAAAAAATATAAGATGGGTTTCAATGGTTAAGATCATGAGTCAGTTGAAGTGGTTAAGTGCTCGCGCGCGAAACCAGTAGGTCCAGGGTTCGAATCTCGCAGGGGATGAGGTCGTGGATGCGCACTGTTGAAGAGTCCAACAATAGGACGAAACGGCCGTCCAGTGATCTAGCTTCAATTGACTCATGATCTTAATCATTGAAACAAAAAAATAGTTCTGTTTCATAAATGATACAATTATATTTATATTTGATTTGATTAACTTCAATTTCCTCATCCTAAAAAAATTATTTTTAAACAAAAGAGGAAACTCATATATAAAGTACAAAAACTAATGAAAACGTGACACAAAAATCATCATTTTCAATTCGAAATGAGTAATTAAATTGGTATTTTCACTTGGTGTTATTCACTTGCATCTTCCCATTGTTATTTAGGACTTCAATTGATCAGTCTGTTATTGTCATATGTGCATCCTGTGCGGATTGTCTCGATTTAGCCTTAAGTCACAAGCTTTATAAGCAAAGATGGATAGTGGTTAGCAGTGACTTCAGGTAATATCAAGGCAGTCTGCACACGATGTACATATGGCTATAACAGACTGATCAATTACAGTCTTAAACATTAATGGGAAGATACAAGCTAGCAATACCAATTGAATTTGATTCTTCACCCTATTACACAAGAAAATGACTATCAGAACTTAGTAGCTAAGTTAATAACGAGATGACGTTCAAAGCAAACGGTACTGGATTCGAGTCCCTTACTGAACATGAACTGTTGAATTCAGATGACGAGTCCCAAATCGGACGAAACATGAGTCCTGTATTCCACTGCTAGCCACTATCCATCTTTAAATTGGTATTTTTCTAACAAGGTGAAAAATAGTAAGATATGACTTATTTACAGTTATGTGTATTCATATTTTTCTATTATTACATGCATAGTCATGATCAATTCATTGAATTATTTTTCATGGTTATAAGTTTGTATCATATGTAATACAGAAAGATCCTTTCTGTATGAAATATTTCCTTTAACTTGAGAAATTATTTCATAAGTTAAGATTACTTATCTATTAAAAACGTTTCTAAATAATATTAGTCTACACGTTGAATATGATGAATGAAAGGTTGAATGACAAAACATATACCTGAGTCGACAGATCATTGTGCAGTAATCAATGATACATCTGTCAAATCTTTTCCAGTGATATTCTAAATCTATTTACCAAGTTTTAGTGTGGCATGAGAAAGCTGGACTTTTAAATTTAGAAGTAATGGTTCATTTCCAAGTAGTTGACTGCCACATATTCTCCAGCTATATGTTGAAACCGCCATTTCATGCAACAACAGATTAATGAAATAATATTGGGGTCCTCAGGACAAAACGTAGTTTTAATTCATGATTTCATTGATTTGGAGCTTATTTAATTTACTTAGTTTTTACTTAGGAAAATAGCCGTTTTGAAACTTATGTAATATTGACTGTAAAAAAATGAGTAACAAATATAATGGTAATGTGTGCTACTGATGTCGATAGATAAAAGTAGTATGTATTACCAATCGAAAGTAGAATGCCTGGAGGCAGAAGATTAAGAAGATCAAAGAGAATAGAGTGATTATAGCTAGTGATTGATATGTAAATGAAGTAACAATAAAGTCTGAGACAATTGACGGATATTTTGCAATTTGTAATTTAGTGTTCATATACATCAAGTTATCCTCCACCTGTGTTCTCGTTCACTACATAACATTAATCAGCTGATTTTATCATTACCTCTTTTGAGATATAAATATTCGGTTCATAATGGAAATTTACTTCAAATCTGTTTATTATATCAGATTTAAATGTCAATTTATCTAAAGTCGAAAACTTCCCAACATCTATTACTTCTTTTATAGAATAGTCTGCCAACCAGAAATTTTCAACTTACTCTGTTATGGACTCTTCTTTCTAGTTTTTCCCAAAAATCATTTATTCTTTTGATGTCTGTCTACAGTTTGTCTCTTTTACTTTTATCTTGAGTATTCTAAGTTGTTTGGTGAGTTCCACAACGTGTGTTCTATCCATGCATAGCGTCTTTTCCTAATTTACTCTTAATTTGAAATCTGTTTTGTTCTCAATCACAATTAGTAAGTTAAATACATCTCATTGCAACTTGAAAAGTGAAAAATTGGTTTCCCATTAAAATCAATAATATACACTATTGATTTTCCAGCATTTCTGAATAGATTATAAGATTATAATCAGTAGTTCGATGTTTGATTAGGTAAGGTTAATTAATTCAACCAAAAAATGTTGTTGATTGTTGATCAATAAATGACTCCGTGCCTTTTATGTAATAATTCTCCTCTATCCATCTAACGAATGTGACAGTTTTGAACTCGCATACTGCTACATACTACTTACAAGAATTTTTGCGAGTAGCATTATTATTACTACTACCACTACTACTCGTACTAATACTACTGATGAAATCATATATGGTAGTTTTAACAGTGTGCGGAACCTTTTACTTAAGCATGAGTGTATATGGTAAATAAGCATAAACTTATAATAATTTATGATTACATATTTCATCCGTATACCTTATTAAAACAATCTTCTATTCCTAAGTCTACTATTTTCTGTACATAAGTTTATGCTAAACTCTACGACAGCTTGAATGTCAAGTTGGATCATCGTGAAAATTCAGAGCACTGTTTAAATGAATGGTGATAATCTAGAAAATTGAGCAAAACCTTATAAAGAATGATTGTCTTCTACTTTAATGAAACTATGATATGTTATGATATGATATATTATATAAAAGTTAGCAGTCAAAGTGATATTTACAGTTTGCTTAATTACTCCTGCCTAAACTGTATTAGATAACTATTATCCAAGTCCTGTGATTGAAATCTTTGTAGAACCTAATGGCGATCGATACTTTTTCTTTAGGTATTATAAGGCCTAGATATCACCATTATTATGTGTTCAATTTATCTCTTCGTTTAAATTCCGGTTTGAAATTTGATTGATACTGAATTAAAGAATTAATGGGATCATCAACACTAGGATATAGGTGATTTCAGTTAACCAGTCCTAAATAGAACGAAACTCATTTCCTGCATTCCTCTCTTAATTGTATTCTAACCTATTTATTCAGATATTCATTTACATGACAATAAATGTAATACCCTGAATATTGTTGCGTAGTACCTTGCGATGTCTGTTAGCTCCTCCTTTGCTCAAACTTTGATCACCTTTCGTACGATCAGAAATGATTGACAAGGATAAAATACACTGATTTACAGACTGACATGTGACGATGTAAGAAAAATTAATTAACAATCTACAAGATTCCAATTTTTAAAAAAAGTAGAAACCCACCTAACTAGTTGGATAAAACTATTTTAAATTCACCTCCAACTTTCACGTCAATATAACAATTTCAAAACATTTATATATTCCATAAATTAAATGGTACTTTTTTTTCTCTTAAATTTAATTCATTAGAAAAAAAAATAGTCCACTGATAGCTTGTTCACAGTTCAATTTCAAGTTTACTAATCATGTTTCGTTGTTTAAATGAGACAACTCAACAACAGCAACAAAAAACAGCAAAAAAACATTCTTACATCATGTTTCCAAAATGGATTTTCCCTATTCCCCCCTACGTCTTCTCTCCCTCTCTCTCTCTCCCTTATTCCACTTAATGTAGAGAGAATGATAAAAAAACGTTTTATCCGTTGGTAACTGAAATTTACATTTCGTAATTTATATTTATTTAGTATTAACATGAGAAAAAAAATAAGAAGAAGTAATAGAGAATCACTAGAACATTTTTAATCCATTAACTATTATCGATGTTGTAATTGAGTTTGTTTTCGTTTATTCCTTGAAATCATTCAGTGGCAATTACCTAATGTAGTTAGTTAGTTGTTGTTTGATTAAATAAAACATGATGATTAGAGTTATATTTTCCTTTAAAATAAAACATGATGATTCAGTATTTATTTGAAGTAATATCAATCTATGTATCAAGTAATATCAATTCAGAATTAATAGTAATGTAGTGAACGCTACATACAAAGATGTTTGTAAGTAATGTGTAGTGGAATGTGACGTCAAAGTTGCAACAAATGTTGAACAGACTAAAGAGTTTTAATGTATTGAATGTACAGTATAGGTAGTGTTAGGTTTGAAGCTAATACGAGTTCACTTGGTCTGCGAACGAGAACAAAGACTCAGTGAACAAGATCAGTAAGCTAACTATTTGATGCGTCTCAGCCCCGATAACTAGAGGAAGACGTCCAAGCTTGGCATGGGAAAGTATATTCTGCAAACCTCCAAAAAGGAGCAATAACAACAAACACAACTCAAAACGTATATATACAGGGCAAAAACGTCCTTGGGGAGAATTACCAAATAGCATACTAAAAGACGCAACTGACCAATAGCAATTAAGAATATTTCCCAGTGGGAAATACGACATGAAGGTGACAAGAGAGCCTTTGGTGTAAAGACAAAGAAATTCAAATTTTCTAAATAAAATTACAAAATTAGGTCCTTTTCTCAAGTGAGTTCTGGGGATCTAACATCCTCAACAGGTAGAACACTTGGAGGTCGATTGAGAAAACAGTTTAAAATGCAGAACGCACCGG